TTTTATGAAAAGGTACCTCTTCCCTATAGGAAGAAAGTGCCTCATTTCTTTTCCATGTGAACACTTGATCCACGATAAATGTTTATAAAATTCCCCTTCACCAAGTTTCTTAACTGCTGAAGAATAAATATTTAAAGAATCACAAATGCTATAATCAAAACCACATAAGATGCTGCAAGAGTGTTCCCCTTTGTACAAAAAAACAAAGGAGCTCAAGCTTGCAGAAAGCTTCATTTTCCTGGTTTGAAAACTGATCTACTGTATGATATACCATGTATTATCTTTGTGCAGTATTTTTAAAACAATACCTTAAATGCCATTGGTTTAATTCTTACCATATTACTATAACAAAACTATGGAAGCTCTGCAGAAGACCAATGAACAGGAGGTTTGGGGGTCACATCTGCAGGGTACTCAGGTCTTTAGCTTCTGCTTGGTGAAGTCCTGGGGATTAGACCCATGTTTGAGATTAAGGACATGCCTGAGTGCCTTGCTGGGTGGGAAACAGAGTATTGAGCACCTGGCAGGAATGAGTCCTTTGCTGGCACTCAGGACAGCAAATTCCCTAGGGGGAATAAAAGTTGTTATTAATAAAAAGAAATAAATAACATGTTTCCTAATTGTAATAGGTAAATAACACCTGTAACACCTTCAGAAGCAGAGATCACCTGATGGAATCTACCACCTGATTTCAGAAATATAATTAATTATATATATACATAAAGTTGAATAAGAAGACTTTAAGTCATTTGGGTAAAAATCCTGGTTCCATGGAACCAAATGGGACCGTTGCCATTTTTGACATGGGACCAGGATTTTTCTCATCCCTTTCACATGACACAGGCTGATTTGGAGCCTTCTTCTGACTCAGAATTTGACTCTAATATTAAGTTAAATGGCAATTTCCTATGGCCAGTGACCAAATTATCCAATAATGTCTGCTTAATACAATCAAAATAAAAAAGGTGGAAGTCATGTTATTTTAATGCAAATGATTTTTTTTCCCTGCATTTTAATCAAAAGGGACAGAAGGATCAAGTTAATCAACCAGAAATTTACAGTAATTCAGAGGTAATCAGTACCTTTGCCCAGGTAAAACTCTTTCTCAATTCTAAGTCTTCTTCCCTTCTTTCCTTCCCTAACAGTACTGGGGAAAAAAAAAAAAAAGAAGGAAGTAAAGCTTTTCTACTTAGGAAGGCAGGAAAAACTACAGGAAGTTTAACCACAATGCCTCTGGACTCCTGGAGATCAAAGGTAGTTTCCTGCTTTCCTCTTCAGACCATCATACAATTGCTCTGGGAGAAAAAAAATGGAAAGTGTACATAGGAAAAGGTAAGGGGACTGTCTCGGAAACATTCATGGGCTCTGACAGTCACCTGCCTGCTCAAATGCTCCTGCAGCAGTTATGCAGCAGATCCACAACCAGCAGCCAAGCATCCCAAGCTTCAGAATTTGGGCTTCAGTCCCCATCCATACACCTGCACTGAAATTCTAGCCCACTGCCAGATTGCCTGCAAACCAGCGCTGGCCGAAGCAGAACATGATCAGAAGCAGTTTTCACCTTGCATGTTCTGTATGTTTGTAATTAGCTGTGAATTAATGTGGAACATTCCCATACAAGTTCTCTTTTCACCAGCAAAAGGCATATCCCTCTATTTGAACCTGGGGAGAATGAGAAACCTGTTGTTGAGGTCAATGTTTTATTTTTTTTTGTTTCACTTTCAGCCTCCAGGCATAAATGCTACATTGAGAAAATGACTGTTTAGGAGTGGGGTCTCACTCTCCATTTATGTTACCCCTAATTCTCACAGTAGCTACAAGGAACAAAATAATTTAACAATATTTTTCCACTGTAAATAGCTAAGGATTAATTTTAAATCCAATGCAGGAGCTGAAGAACAAGTAGAAGAAGGAGGTGAAAAACTAACAGACACATGCAGGTCTTGTTCATGAAATCATTAATGAAAGCAAAGCCCTTTAGCAGAATAACCTACCTCCTTGGTCTCTAACATATCACTATGTGTTTCTCCTCTCTCCAGATACATCACCACAGTAAAAGACTTCTATAAATAAACTAGCTCAGCTTAAAAATAAGTGTGGTAACAGACAGTGGAGGAATTAGGCATGCAGCCTTCTGCAAACGATAAATTCTTATGCACAAAACTATTGTGGTTTTGATTGATGTTCTGTTCAAGTTTTCTGGTTTTCCAAAACCACCAGAGGGAGCCCAAAACCTCTAATAAATATAAGAAAAGGCATGTTGGAGTCACCAATGAAGAAAATGGAGTCAGAATTAGGCTATGTTTCAAAGAAATACACTAATTGCTCATTCACCAAGATCCATGCAGATGCAAAAGTTCTGGGCAGTGATGCTTGAATCATGTAGAATTATACTGGAAGAATCTTTTAAATTTGGTCTTGACAATTATTAATGCAACTCATAACAGTTTGAGCATGCCAGAATACACACAATAGTGGTGAGGATGAAATGATGTAGATAGCCATATAGCATACATTACATTATCAGTTAGGAACATACTTTTGAGCTCTGCTTCTGAATCAGCGTAACACTGTCGGGTGCACAGACAACAAGTGAAGCTATTTACAACATGGCCTAAGGGGCTGCTTCACATGATTGCCAGTGTTTACTCCTTTATAAGTGCTGATGGCTATGGTAATCACTGGGGAAAAGCTGATTCTTTGGATAAAAGAGAGAGGAGCACAGTGTCGTGAAGCACTGATTTTGTGACTATCACAGAGAAGCATTTAAAAATCTGGACTGATATACTGTATGATTTGCTACTGATTTGGCTCTCCATCAGCTGGTCACTGATTGATCTAACTAAGTGTTACCTTGGCTAGAAAGCAAAGTAAATAAGGAACTATGTGGATGGTCCAAATGGACTTACCAGACCACTTTTACCAGAGAAGGCTAAAAATGTCAACTGTAAGTCACGATTTCTTGTTACGATTACCTTATATGAAGGTTCTTCCAAAAGGTTTAATAAGGTCTAGCTAAAACAAAAGTAGATCCTAGAAAAAGCCCAAGAAGTTTGGCATGATGGTACAGCAAATGGCATATAATTTGTTTGCCTTTTCCAGATCAATATCTTCAGAATGCAAGTCCTAGTTTTATAGCTATGGGAAAAAATTAAAACCTCAAAGTGCAGAAAAGCCTAAGAGGAAGATGGACAAAAGATAAGTTCCAATAGCAGGACCTGACACACGAAAACACTGTTTCTTTGAACAACCAAGCAAAATTAATGAAGATTAGATGAGCTCATCTACACAAGAACTGATTCTTAACCTTTATTACTCCCAGGAAAGGTTCTACAACAGACTCCTTTTTTTCTGGGCATAGAAGAAAAAACAGCTTTGAGCAACCTGATCTAGGGGAAGGTGTCCTGTCCATGGAAGTGGTGTTGAGACTAGATTCTAGAGGTCCCTTCCAAAGCAAACCATTCTATGATACTGTATACATCTTTTCATTGATGAATTGTCACAGGTCCTAATTGCAACATTTTTCAAACCAAACTTCATCTCTGGTTCTGGAGGTGCACACAGAACATAATTATGTACAGCTTTTAAAGATATAATTGTAGAGCATTATTTTCAGCTTTTACAGCAAAATCTTGCCATTTGTTTTAATTCCACTCCTGTGACCTCAGCAATGGAGGAAATAGTTCTTTTCCAGTTTTAGCTCTGCAGTGCCCTGGGGAAGAAGACGGTTTAAATGATGCCTGTAGTGTTTGACTAATATGCAGTTCTCTTTACACACACATTACAAATAGACTAGTCAATGCCAAAAAATAAAAGCCAGTAAAACTTTGACTGATAATATTCCTGCAGTGCACAACTCGACTACAGCTATGAGTTCTGTAACATTACTGATCTCAACAAAAAAAAGGTCTAATTCAACAGTCAAAATGAGCACTCTGATCTACCTTACTTGGTCCATAGGATAATTCATTAAAGATACTTAAATATTAAATAAATAAAAGGAGCAAAAGGTAACATCATGTTATCTCTGGCTCACTTCCTTTCTAGGAGACACAGCACAGAATTGCAGCCAGTTTATTATTTGACTACTCTGCACATGAGGGATCAAGTAGAGATCAGTTAATTAAAAAAAAGAGGATATTATTAGAACACCATCATTAAGGGGGGAAATTGTTTGAAAGCCAGGAAATTCCTCGTTTAGAGTTCATAAAGTCCTGACTGTTAGAGCTTCCTCATTAGGAGAGAAAATTCATTCTACCAGAGGGTGCATAGATTACAAGGTGCAGAAGAGGGTGCAGGAAAAGTGCTCATATTGCCATCAGGTAAAAAAGTGCATCCCATCACTGGATACAAGTCCATCCTGACAAAGTTCTGCAAGGGACCAGAGCAAAACCACCAAACATAACTCTCATGTCACAACTCTCATGAAGCCACATGAAATCCCATCCATGTCTGCTCTTACTGCTTTAGAGTGACAAAAGATGGTTATTTGCAAAACGTAAAATGGGGACAAAAATCTCTTGTTCTTCATCCAAATTGCAGATGCCCTTCCTCCCCTCGGACCATCCCTGGAAGGGCTGCAGGCAGGTCTGGAGGGCTGCAGTGGGTGATGGTGTGCTCATGCAGATAGAGAAGCAGGGTGGCCATGCCAGGGAGGCTGCGTTATCCGTGTGGTGGCTGGCACCCCATGGGGCCTGCCAGGGCTCTGCTGTCTGGGACAGCATCTGGATTCACCTCCAAACCACACACATAGTCAGCCAGGCACTCCAGTAATCCTGGGAGCTGGCTGTGGTGGGATGCATTAAAAATCCTATGCCCAGGAGGCAAGTGTAGGACTGTAGCTGTTGCTGAAACTCAGCTTCCCCAGCCCTAGGCTCCTTCCTCTCCCCCATTCCCACGACTCGGCACAGTTGGGGATCACTTCTGGTGCCTTGGCCGGCTGTCACTCCCTGCCCATCTCTCTTTGAGCCCATGAGTCACTTCCTCTCCTCAGATCTCACCTTTCAAAACTTCCTTTTTCCTTTTTGGGGGTACGTCTGAAAGCCTCTTTTGAAACCGGGCATTGGGCTTACTTATCCATGGACAAAAGTGCCGCTGGAAAGCAGCAAGTTCTCATGTCTGAGGACACACAGTCAAGACCTTACAGCCACATTCATGTCATCCCCAACATGCCGGTGTGCACAGCTCCACAGTGGCCTCCTCCAGTCCTCTGCTCTGACACCCTGGATGTGGTGGCAGAGGGCTTCTTGCTCTGTACTTTGCCTGCAGGTGTGGGATAGACAGAGAAAAAAGGAGAGAAAAGAGAGGCCCAGTTCATTCCAGTTTCCCTTGCTGGCCCCAGTTGCTGCCTCTTGCTCAGAGAGCAGCAGCCCTGGGGTTCAGTTGCAGCTGGAGAGAAAGCAAGAAAGTAAAATCAAAGGAGCTTTGACTTCTAAAAATGGAGTTCATTTCTTTTATCCTTTTTTTTGAGCTGTTGGGAATTCAGATTTAAATTTTTCTCTACAGCCATGAGGGTTAGAGATCTGTTTCTTGGAGAGTAATAGTGAACCCTTCTGAAACCAGTGGCAGTTGTCAGGAGCTCCTCTACCACCCGACTAGTGCCATCCCCTGGGAAGCTCCCAGCTCTTCATGATGCTCCCTCATATATGATGGAGAATTCATTTATCCTTGCCCCTCACAGGAAAGTCAAAGCGGGAGGAGAGTGTGGATGTGAGGGGAGAGGTGCGTCGGGGGAACCTGTCAGGGTTTGAGTGGTCGTTCAGGCACAACTGAGAGATTTCTGTGTTATCAGCACGATAATCACAGTGGCTAACAACTTAATCTGCAGGTACAGAGGCCAAATCTGTCTGCACTCAGCAATTCAGAATGAAGCTGTTAGTCAACTACCTTATTTGTCATTGTAGTTTCAGGATTATGCTGTTGGATGAGCGTGCTTTGACTTCTCCAGCTTTGAACTGTTTGTAAGGCTGTTTGTTCTGCTCCAGGACCTCTGAGACCTGATGTTTTGCCTCCATGTAAGGCTGTTATCAATTCTTTACTGTGCAGCACTATTAGGACAGGAAAAGTAAAGTTATTTGGGCCAGATTCTCGGTGCAAAGCCACATCTGGAATGGGGGGCTATGCAGGTTCATCCTGGCTAAGAATTTAGGCTACATTGTAGTGGGCTTGGGGAAGAGATCATATGTTTGAGTTGTTTTACAGCAGGGACTTGCAGTTTTCATGCTAATTTCATGCCATGCTAATTAAGTCACTGGGAAGACAAGGACAGTATTTAAATTAAGCATGCAAATGGATGTGGTGTTGAAAGACACTGTTTCATTAGTATCTTCCATTTTCAAACATTATGATGCTTTTCATGGCCAAATACACCCACACAACTGAGAGGGAACATGGAGAAAATAAACTATGTGTATAGATTCCCATGTGTTGCCATAATGCTGTTACAGAACTGCATCACTTCTGATCAGTGGGTTTTGGTCCTGGCCAGTCTGCTGTGTCTTTGCTGCCCAAACTTGATACTGTGACATAAGTCCTACTGACACCATGTGTCATCGAGACACCATCACTTGCTTTGTGATCTGTGAATACAGATCAAAAGTCATTGGTTAAAGAAAATCATCTATATCCTCTCTAAATTATGAGAGTTGTTAAAACTATAGAGGTGATGCAAATTTGTTTTAAAATTTGTTTTACTCGCTTTCCACAGCAAGTGTGAGAAGCAGACTGTGCCCTATAATTCCTTGCTCCTTAAAGCCCACCCAAATTGCTGTGGTGCTTAGGCAGTATAAATATAGACAGCTCTGAAATGTACAACATGGTGTAATCACTGAGAGTATGTGCTCCACCACTGCTAAAGGGAACACCATGGTAATCAGATGTAGTCCCTGCTCTGAGTTATCCCCAGAGGAAAAGCAGCCTAGCAGCCAAACTACTCAAAGGGAATGAATTAGTAACACAGTATTCCCACTGAAGCCTTGTATGCCATATCACCTAAAATCTATTTTTGTCACAGCACAGAACCCTTCTACTCACAGAACATATTTCCCTGGATCCTGATGTAGGACAAGCTGGTATTCTTTTTTTTTTTTTTTCATCTGAGAATAATAGAAAATCTCCAAATTGCTGAATTTTGGGTGATTAACTGTTAGTAATAATACATTCTTGCCTTGCTGAAAACTTAGCACATGCATTTGGATCACTATATGCAGTTTTCTAAGGCAGTAAATTAAACTGTCAGGCATTAGAGGACTCTGTGTGCCTTCCTAGGCAGGAATAAAAAGTAGGAATAACCAGTGCTTGCCAGTAACATTGGGTGAGCAATACTAATACAGATAGGAGCAAAATTTTCCAGGGGAAGAAGTGCCAGTTTTACATAAAAAGATTAATAAATTACAATAAAGTCAAATTGGAACACACTCCCTCCTCCAACATTTTCAATATTTTTATATTCACAAGGTTTTACATAAATGACAAAACCCACAAAACCTATCTTACTACTAAATCTAAAGAAGAATTTATTTTTCAGATGCAATTTTTTTCCAACACTTCATTGCTGTAAATTCCTTATCACAAAGTAACAAAGAAATGGATTTCTCTTTTCAGAACAAGAGAGCAGCTTTGGGAATTCCTGTATTCATTCAGCTTTTCATTACAAACATCATCCATCATGCCTTACATCCCTTACACTGAACTGTAGAAAACATACCAGAAATTCTACTTGGAACAGCAATGCATCTTGAACAAAGCTGACTAAGCTCAAAATTAAGTTTTCAACAACTACATGTTAAAAAGAAAATCAATGAAAGAAAAACAGCGAGCTCTACTGAACAAACATCCCACAGTTAAAAAACCCCATGTTTTGATTGATGAAGGAAAAAGCCATGACATTTTAGGTGCCTTAAAAGAAATTTCAAGGATCACATTAAAAAGAAAGTTGGCATTGTATTAAAATATAGTTATCCCAAGAGATAACTGTAATATACTGTGAAACAAGGACATAGACTCGCTTTTCCCATTTCTCAAAGCAGTTCATTAAATCTTTCTTTCTTCATCTCATGTCCCCAAGTGAGGGAGTTTACCTTCAGGATCATCAACTTTCCTGGTTGTGAAGCAGCTCTAATCCACTTACTTGATCCTCCTGCAATCAATTAATGCTATGATAATCCTGTCCTGGCCAGGCACAATGTGGAAAACCTAATATATCACATTATCTACAAGAAAAGTATTTAGGAATCTAGTTCTGTATCCAAGACACTTTTACCTCTACATAAAGGTCAGGACAAAACACTCAGTAAGATTTATGATATCTACAAAAACAGCAAGGTAAGCTCTGAGGAGAAGCAATATCTTTCATCAGATCAGCTGATACTGCTGGAAAAAGTAGACAGCCTTTCAGGCACAGAGACCCAGTGTAGGTATGGGCAACATCTGAAGTTTAGTTTGGATTAGCCCTGCAGTGAAGACAAGTCTTCTGGCATTGGACATTTACACAAATTACTCTTTTGAAGGTAATTTTTTTATCCTCTTTATGGAAAACATTTTCATGGTGTAATTAGAAATAAATTTCTAGCTTTTATTTTTATGACAGCAAAGCCCCAGATATTTCTATAGGATCTTGTGTGCTAGAACTAATAATGCAAATGCATTTGTCAAAATTAGTTACATTTTTAGTCTTGGAAGCCTCTGTCCAGTTTCACAGATTATTAAACTGAGTACAGCAATTCCAGAGAACTGATGGTTCTTGTCTGATGGCCTATTTTCTATCCTTACAGACAGCATGAATCACATACTTTCATAAGAAAGCACAGGTCAGTGGAATTACTATGCAAAATGCAACTTTCTCTGGAGAGAACTTGTCAAGTGAATGTCTTCACTTATAGTACTTTGGATGCTACTCTGAATGTCATTTTTGCAAAGCAGTACCGCTTTGGGAGAAGTAACATGCTGTTATTCTTCCTTGTATGTGCCTAGGTTTGTTTATCTACTTCCAGTCAGTTACGGAGGCAACAAAATGGCACTGGTGTCCCCATGGGCATATGACATTTATAAATGTCATCTTTGTGTGGCCAAAACTGATCTGAGAACAGAATTGCCTGAATTTTGTCCTGAATTTCCATTACCACTGTGCATTATCAGTGGGATTCTTGAATATTTACGCAATCCCAGTTAGCTACAGCTGTGCAATCCCATGGCAAGTTCCTCCTCTGTGTATAGGAGCTTCCATTGCTATATCCTATTTTATTTCTCTTTCAGATATAGAAAGAGGAGTGCAATGGAAAATTGTGGAAACAAAAACAAAAGAAAAGACTGAGCACCTCACAGTGGTATTGTTTTGTTCACAGGCAGCCTTGCCAGCACAAAGGAAATGAGGTGTACTCACACTGAAAAGAAACAGGCCCCTTCTGCGTGGCCAGGGCCTCTGAGCTTCTACTGGTGAGGCTGCTGGTTCTCCTGGCTTGGGCTCTGGAAGAAAACTGCTGAGACCTTCTTGCTTTACCACCCTCCTGGGCAAGCGCAGCTTCCACCTCTCTGGGTGGTCTTTCCAGCAGTGGAGGTCTTGTCCTTCTGCTCCTGGTGTGACCCAGGAGTGAACCGAGCTCATTAAATGTATTTGCCTTTCCTTTGGAAAAAGAAGGAAAAAAAGGTGGAAATAGATACAGTCACGAAATTATACTACATTTCTATTAAAAGAAAAAGACATTGTACTTGTTTGTAGAAATCAAAAGCTTTTCACCCATGTGGTGCTTCTTTCTTGTGAGACCAGAGTAATTGTCAGATCAAGTATTTCAAGTCACGTCATTTCCAGAAGAGAGGAGTTAGACACACTCTTGATCGTGTGCTTCTGTTTATTCTGCGTAAGGGATCTAGGACACCTGTGTTAGTTTTAAAGCTACTACATGTACAGCACTTGACTGCTATATTTTGGCAAGTCCCAGCTGTTATTTCACATGTGTGAACTAAGAAAATACCCAAGGTAAATACAGACTTAGAAGAAGTACCAAAAACATTTACAATAAAGTGCAAGTATAGCCCAGTATGTTAACTTGCTAATATATACAGTGTGTTGGCCCTGATCTATTTCGCTTTAGAGAGGCAAAGAGATGTAACAAAGCCTGTATGAAACCCCACAACTGGTTACCAGTTATTTCTCCTAAAGCAGCAGCAATAATATGAATTGGGTTTCTCATATATTTCTTTACTTACAGTTGTTACCAGCTGAGCTTAAGCAACTGTGGGCAATGCAGAATAGAAACAATTTTTTCTGTTAATTTTGTGCATCTGACAGCATTTAATTAAAAAATCAGTTTCAATCCAGATTACTTACATGTGTGCACATGTACACGCACAATGTTAAAAGGACATTACTGATGATAATTTATTTTTCTCTGCTCTTTCTGCATTTCATAATATCCCTTCTCTCTTGAAACACTGCCAGAGAAGATTGTCTTTAATAGACTTCAGTGCTGTCAAAAGAACCTCAGGAAATGAGGACTGAGTTGCACCCAAGGTCCACTGTATGCCACCAGCACTCTGATTATACATACTTCTTTGTATAGGAGGTAAAGATCTGCACCCCCTATGTCTTGCCTTCAAAAACCAATATTCTGTCCACTTTCCATCTCCTCTAATTAAAGCCAACTACTTTGACCTGTTTGGTTTCTCCTCCAAAAATTATGTTCTGTTTTAACCTCTTCTTGACCACGCTTTGAGTTATGCCTCAGAAACTCCTAGATTTCACTAGAAATGAGTTTTACTAGAAAAACAGGGTTACTTTATCTCCATGATTTCCTGTATATGGGTCACATCCTTTTAAGTACAATCACCAGCTCTGTAAATACTATCCTTAGAGGTAAGCTTTCCAGCTGCCTCCTGACATAACCTGACATACCCCCCTGTAGTCTGGGAGCCATATATTCTACGGGGCAAACAAATGAAAAAACAAGCTATCCATTCGAATTAAAGGAGTCAAATAAGGAATTTCCAGGCAGCAACCTAATCCCAGAGTAATGTTTCCTGAGGTATTTCAGACAGAAGCCTAGCAGGTATCAGAAAATGAAGAAAAAAATGTTACTTAGTGACAAGACTAAAATTTTGTAATGGGATGGCAGCACTTTTTGTATCCAGGGTCAGCTCAAGCTCCAAAGGAACGTTTCCAATATTTTAGCTCTCACTTGCTTATGTAGTCCTGATGTAAATGAGACCTGTTCTGGTGAAGTTACGCAATGGGTAAGTTAGCTTGCTGTGTGAGAACCACACACCATTTTTGTAATTAACTAATTTCTCGCTCAAAAGCTTTCAGGACTAAAAGACAAGTATCGTATTTGTCCCATGTTTGACATGGAAATGTTCAGTTGAAATATCATGTCCCTCTAATTATAGGTGCTTCAAACTCAGTAATGTTTTGCTTACATCAGTCACTGATCATTCACTGCTTCCATTGATCATAATCCTGGGTTGCTGTAGTTCACTCAGCAGTAATTCTAGCTGGCTTTCATCATTCCATGGAAAACATATATGAGCAATTAAATCTCTCAGCAGAAGGAATCAACCTCATTTGGAGATTTATAAAAGCATTTCAGAAAAAAGACCACGTAAATATTTATGCGAGCAATAGCAATGAATAATTATGTTAATATCTGATAACAATATAGCTCATTTTGTCAATGGTGAATTACTAATTTGATTTGATTCTTGAGAGCTTCCTGGATAACCTGAAAAGAAGAAGGGAGGGGGTAGGAAGACAAGGAAAAGGCACATGCAGTTGTCTACGGAAGTTCATAGAAAGCCCCTTATGCAGTGCAATCTAGAAAACATTCATTTACAATCGTGATATAACTATGAAATAGTTAAAAATAATATTTAGAAGCAACAAAGTATATCCCATTACTTTAAGGCAAGAAAAGTATGTGGCCCAGGCAGGGAAAATTTTGCCTCACTCAGTTGTGGCTTTGCAGGTTTGTGCATACTGAACTCTGATCAAGTCTTTTCACTGTTCATTCAGTTCCACCCGCTCTGATGACTTGTTTGAAGTCCTGCAGAAAATCTATCTAAGGGTGGGGAATGAAGCAAGGTCTTCTTGCCCCATGCTGTAACCATGAGACCACCCTCCTATGTAAGAGCCTGAAGGCATCACAATATCAGGTTAAAGGCACTTCTATAGCTTTCCATATAGTTTAGTGAAAATAGTTTTGCAATACTAGAGAATAAGCAGTAAGCATAATGGTTTGAGCGCTGATAGGTCAGTCATGAAATATTTACATCAGGCTAATACTGGCTTAATATTCTCTTTACAAGCTCCCATTGCGATGATTTATACATCCTTCCAAGCCTTGAAAGAAATAAATGAGGCTTAGCATTAGCTTTCTAATGACTATAAAGACTTCTATAAAGAAGGAACATAACTGGTGGATAGCTGTCTATGTGTAGATAATGTTAGTAATAACATTAGGGATGCTCATTTTGTGTATGCATATACAATATGTAGTAAAAGGAGAAAGAAAAAAAGGAGATGCAAAGCTGCAGAAAGAAATTGGCATGGTTACAAGACTTTAAAAAAAAAATTTGCAATGGGGAGCATGCACAACAAAATAGCAAAATAAGTTTTGATTAAGCTAGTCCACAGCCCACAAAAAGCAATCCCTCATGATTTAGATAACCCTCATGATGGAAATTTTTATAACTCACTAGCAAAAGACAGTTTGGTGTAAAAAGATCATATTTAGAATCACAGAATGATTTAAACCTTCAGAGGCAAGGCTAATGTTAGGTTAGATTTAGTGTTCATGCCTGAAGTTCCTAAACCAACAAAGATAGATTTTTTTTTTTTAATTCTATCCTTACATTATTTGTCAGTACTTTAATTGTAGGAGTGGCTGGATGGACAACACCAGCCACCTGGATGATACAATAAGAAGAAAAAAATACTAAAGCAAAAATATTGTGGTCCTGAGCTAGCCAGAGCTAAGATTAGTGTGTGTGTGAAAAGAATCACAAGGTCAAGCTGGAAAGCTGCTTGAAGCATGGTTGTTCTCTGTGGCTGGAAGCAGTCACATGGGTGTGTGTGGTATGTGGGGAGATAAAGAAACATCTGCCTGTCAGGAGAGCTCTGACCCAGAGTTAGGTAAATAATAATAATGGCCAGTCTTCGCAAGCGAAGATCCGGGGAAGGTCTTTCCACCTTCCAGCCTGTGCATTGGATTTTTTAGGTGAGACACAGTGTGCGCGGAACTGAGCCCACCCTTTAATCCTAAGGTTCATCTGCCGGGGCCAAGCGAGCTTGGACGGTGGCAGCGAGGTCCTTAGGACGTAGGTGGGTTGCCTTTAAGGGCTAACGAGCCCCACCTGCCCGGGAGTGGCCCTGACCGGGAATCGAACCCGGGCCTCGTCGGTGACAGCGCCGCGCCCTTACCACTAGACCACCAGGGGCTCCCCGAGTTAGGTAGAGAGTCTGTATATAGGTATGGAGTAATAAAGTTACAAGAGATTCTTCCTGGACAAAAGTCTGTCCTGCTTGAATTCATTCACCACAAACAGTGCAGAGTGAGGGATTTTTCCATCATTCAATTACCGTATAAACCTAGCCCAAGCAAGAGGCATCTCATTTACTCTTTAAGGTTTTGTTTACACCTGCTGCATCCAAACCAGAGACAGTTTCAGAGATCAGTTTCTTTACTTACCTTATTTCAATACCTTCAAAAAATTTCTTATCTTCCAACTCTCATGGAAGCTCTCATGTTCCTCAGAGAAACATCCTAAAGCTCTACCAACATCTAGTTACTTCCACCATGGACCAGAAACACTGAATTGCTTTTGCCTTTCCAGCAAATGTTACAGTGCTGGAGAGGCTCCCCCTGTTCCAAACATCTTACGTGTGGACTTTTAGCTGGATGTTCTTCCATGACTAGCTTTGGTAGATGGAAGAATTGTTTCCATGCACATTTTGTCATTATATGACTGGTTTATATTTATTCTCTGTACTGCATTTCATTTCAGATGCAAACTTGCCTCTGTCCCAGTGCCTACAAAACAACTGAAAATGGATAAACATTGGACTTCCAGTGGTCCTTCCATTGACTGCAAGGACTGTGTATCATTTGCTCCTTCTAAGACTACAGTGTTAACACAGTTAATAATATACCATGAATGCCTTGATCCTTCCAGCTTACAGACATAATGGCTGAGAGTGCTAAGAGGAGGAATTGTTTTTAATTGCACAATATGAAAAAAGTCTTTTCCAAAACAAGTAGGTACTAAGAGAAAGCTGTTTTGGAGATACAAAGCCTTATAAGGGCTTCTTCAAGGAGTTAGACCCATGCAGAACTATCAGTACAATGAGAGATTAGTACTGAGTAAAGCAGAGTGGAGATTATGAATTAGGAAAAGAAAGTGACTGCAGCGTCTTAAAAGAAACAGTCTATCTTTATTGCCTTTGACATCAATTAGGGATCAGACCACCAGCATTTCTACATCCTGCTTTTGCTCACGGTACTCATAGATTATAAAAATGTTGACATTTCACTTACACTTGATAATTTTTTTTTTTTTAAAGCACATGTTATTTTTAGATGCATTATTTTTTATAAGTAATGTTTTAGCTGTGATGGTCTAAGGGTATAACCA